GATCAGAAGGCTACAGATAAAGCGAGGAGGGGATTTAGGCAATTGGTAATGCCCTTGGTCAGACATACACCTCAACGGGTGTGTGGCAAAAAGGTTTCTGGAGGCAGGAGGGCTGGGGAGCTGCTGGCATGCGAGGGGGGAGGCAGGAGCTCCGGGCTTGTGGCAAGAGCTGTGTGAGCAGAGCCCTGCCTGCACTGCCCTGTCTGCCCCAGGCTGAGCAGCTCCTGCTCGGGGGGTGTGTTGTGCCCACTGCAGCCCCCAGCACCCACCATCTGTCCATCCATCCAGGGCTGCAAACGGGGGGCAGGCTGAGCTCAGCGCGGGGCTGTTCGGCTGGTTTGCTGTTCTGGTGTGTGGGTGTGTGTGTGTGTGTTGTTTTGATGACCACGAGAAATGTTACATCATTACATCCAAACAAACACCCTTGGATTTTTGTTACTCTACTTCTGAACACCGCAAAACACAGGAGCAACGTGACACAGACGGGAGCGGTGCCGGGGGGGGCGATGCTGCCGCGTCGGAAAACAATCCCTGAAGCCAACGATGGGAGGGGAGAGATGGGAGTCAATACAGGTCGCAGTTTCCATTTACAAGAGCCCCCAGGAGGGAGGACCCGCAGGCCGTGGCTGCCAGCACGGCTGGTGTCCGTGGCGGGGCTGGAGCTGCCCCGGCTGCCCTGGAACCCGCTGCGCGGGCAGCGCCGTCACCGGCCCGGGGCGAAGATGAAGTCGAGGGCTTGGCGCTCGGCCGCGGCCACGTTGGGGTGCCACAGGTCCACCATGAAGACCACGCGGGGACCCTCCTCCGGGGGACCTGGGTGGGATGGAAGCGCGGGGTGAGTCTGCTCCCACCCTGCTCCCCGGGGGAGAGGCTGATGCTCGGGTGATGGGCTCCATACCAGGAACCTGGTGCCTGGACCCCCTGGCTGAGTGGGCACCCCCAGTGCCATCCCAGTAAACAACACCTGCTTACTGGGAGCCCAGAGCTTCCAGCAGCCAGCGTGGGGCATGGTGCTCCCTGCCAGGGCTGCGGGGTTGCTTTGGGCTGTTGGACCCTAAGGATTCCCATCACAGGGAAGCAGGGAGGATCCAGCTATCCCAGCTATGCCATGGCTCTGCACTGAGCTGTGCCCCCAGCTCCACAGCAGGGTTGGTGTGGGAGCAGCAGCTTTTGTTCTCCCACTCTCTTCATGCTCCCCTGCAGAACAGCTGTTCCGTGGTGCTGCCATGGTCGGGAGAGGATGGCCAGCCCTGTGCTGGGCTGGAGGGGCTGTGGGGCTGCAAGCAAGGCAGGACGGGAGCAAGTCCTGGGGCAGCTGAGGAGAGGGCTTGAGGGGGTCCATGGGGCAGGGGGCACTGGGATGCTGCACTGCCCTGCAGAGCACGACCACGTGTGATGGGCGAGCCCACCAGGACACGGACAGAGCAACTTGTCCTCCTCGAGGGCAGCAGCAGTGCAACCCCCACGGGATGCTGGTGCCTTCAGACAGCTTGGCAGGAGAAGAACTGGGCACAATGGCCCTGCCTGCCTGCTCCTCCCAGTCCCCCGGGCACGTGCTGGGCTTACCTTCGTGGAACGCCGTGTGCAGGAAGGAGTCGTCAAAGAGCAGGCAGCGACCCTCAGCCCAGCACTGTGGCTCACCCCCCACCACCAGCTCACAGCTGCTGGGCGTCTTCAGACCTTCAGGCACCAAGAGAGAGAACAGGGAGGGTCAGGGGATGCTGCGCTCCCTGGGACAAGGGGACCAATGGCAAGTTCCAGACGAGCTCCACGCTGCTGCTGAGGGGTTGGCATGGCAGAGTCCAGGGGTTAAATTGCATTTGCAAGCTGAACTCTGAGCCTGCTGCAGTTCAGCCCTACCTGCTCCCCTACCTGCTCTCTCCTGCTCCTTGTGTCCCCAGCTGCTGCACGTTCCTCCTGCTGTACCCAAGTGAGCTCAGCCTCATGGGCACCTTCTTTTGTACCTGAAACAGCTGCCAAGTCCCCAGAGCCCACAAGCACAGGGTGTATGTAGAAAACATTTTCCTGGTGCATTTTTCTGTCTTCAGGACCGAAGGCAGAGCCTGCCCTCACCTTCTTCCAGCCCTGCTGCAATTGCTTTGCCTGCTGCAGGGCTCGGGTAGGGGAAAAGGCTGCATGGGGACTGGAGAAATGGGCTCAGTTCCTGGCTCTGCCACAAGCTCCCCACTTGACCTTGCATCATGCAACCTTGTCACTCAGTCCTCAGCTGCAAGGACAGAAATTGAGGGGAGGGTCGCAAAACCTCTGTTAAGGGAAGAGGCTCCTTGAAGGCCACATAAAGAAGGACAATCCCAGAAATAAAATAGGTCTGTTCCTAAAATACTAGCACAAGTCAGGCCAGTTTGGCAAGGGTTTATCCCATGTCCCCGTGCACCGGGAATGTCACCCCCCATAGTGCTGGGGACCACTGGAGCTGGTGCAGAGTCAACCTGCCCCCAGGATGCAGCCGTGGCAGAGAAAAGGGCCAGGGCTCACATGGCCTGCAAATGGCAACGATGCAGCAAATGAGCAGGGATGGATCTCACAGCAATGCCAAAACCAAGTGAGCGCAGCAGGGACTCCCAGCTGCGCAGCAGAGCTGAAAGCACAAAAAGCTGCTCTGCTTTTCTAACGGATGTAAAAAAGCCTATAAAACCCCAAAGCCATTTCTCTGCACAACAGCCTCAGCTGGAGATGCTCCAGCTGGGAAGGTGGAGCTGAGCAGGGGGGAGGTGGCAGTGTGCAGCATCTCCATCGCACCCTGGGGAATGCTGCCCTGGTCCTTGGAGGGGCAGGGCTGGTGCCTGTGCTGGACCCCATGTGCTCAGCAGAGCAGTAGAAGGATTGGGGTAAATCCAAAAGAGTGACTCGGCTACGCTGATGCTGGTCTGGCTTTTCAGAGCAAGCTGAAACACACCCATGGCCTGGGCACAGTTTATGCCACATACCCAGAGGTGGAGATGTCAGTGAAATCTGGGCACTGAGGGTTGGCCCAGCTCCACACCCTGGAGCAGGATGTGTATGATCCAGCCTGGAGCTCACCTCACTGGGCCCCTCCCAGGAACTACTCTTGGACCCTTGCAAGAAGAACACATCTCCTCAGCATCCCAGAGAGGGGGAAGCCAGCAGCCGGGTGGTGGGGCTGGCACCGGCAAGGACAGGTCCCAGCTCCCCAGCAGCTCCCCAGGCCTGGAGAACTCCTCAGAGCAGCTCTGCAGACTGATTCCTATTCCCAATAAATGGCCAGTCACCGCCTGAGCATGTTTACCCGAGAGGAGTTGGCTGAACAAGCAGGTTTGGTGTTTGCCAGCAGGGCCCGTGCGGTGCCTCCCCCGGCGCGATCTGTGCCGCTTCCAGCGCGGCAGAGTCCCGGCCATCTGTGCTGCCTGGGCTCTCCCCGTCCCGGGCAGGGAGCACTGTGCCACCACCAGAGGGGATACCCCAGGACCCCCACCCCTCATCTGCACCAGAGCAGCATCTCTGCTCACATCTGCATGTGTCACCAGCCTGAAATCCCAGGAGAGGGGGAAGTGCTGGAGGGGAGGTGCTGGGAGACAGCTGGGTCCCTGGAGCAGCACCTCCAGCTGCCCCGCACCCCAGAACGGAGCGTGGGGGTGTCTGCAGACTGGGGGCTGTTCTGAGACCCCTGCACAAAACCAGCTCCGGATCTTGCACAGCTGGGAGCCCACATCTCCGGGTTGGTGAGAGAAGGAGGCAAAATGCTCCTGCTGTGGCGTTGGGAACCCCAGGAGGTTGGGCACCTGGGGGGGATGGAGCACTGGCCTCTCCTGGGGAGGATGCTGCCAGAGCCCCCAGACCTCCCACACGCCAAAGAGGAGCAGGGACCTGAGCCAGCCCCAGGGCTCCAATCAGTGGCTGAACTCGGAGAGCATCGGGTTCCAAAGGCCTTTTTGAGGCTCCTGCACCCAGGCACAGCTGACTCCCAACCACCACCCATGGCAGGATGAATCCTCCCCCCAGCCTCTTACCTAGATGGCAGCGGATACGGATGTTGGTGGGTCCGTAGTGCTCAGCGATGACGGTGCCGGGGCTCAGCATGGAGATGCACGCGTTCCCAAAGACATTGTTGCCAATGCAGGTGCGAAGGCTCCCGAGCAAGCGGTACGTCCGTGGGCATCTCCTGCAGTTCCTGGGCACGCACATGCCCTGGTTCACCAGGTAGAAGGTGAACCACTCCCCGGTGGGCGTGCTGTTCATTTTCCATCCTTGTGGGAGGCTGCAGTTTGAGAAAGCTTTGTAGAGGGTCTCAAACTCGCACAGGATGGTCTGAAAGTTGCGCTCCAGCAACTCCACGTCGTGCTTTTGAGCGTCCCGGGAGAAATAGGGCATGGTTGGCAAGTCAGGCAAGAAGAAGACTTCTGGCTTCTGGATGGATGGCCGGCTGTTGAGGTACCGGCCCTGCTCACGGATGCCCTTGTGGATCCTGCCCATGCCAGACCAGGAGTACCGCTTGGCGTACTCCTGCAGGTTATGGTAGAGTTTCTGGTTGAGCCCGTCGTGGTGGGTGCAGCGCACGCACTCGGGCGAGTGGCAGTAGATGTACCCGTTCTGCACGCCGTTGGCCTCGGCGCTCTGCATCAGGGCGTTGACGGTGGCGTAGGCGCGGGGCTGCTCCCGCCCCACGTGGTAGCAGTACCAGACGAAGAGGACCAGGAGGCAGGCGACGGCGGCGAGGGCGCTGGTGTTGCAGTCCCGGAAAGACTGGATGCCCGTGGCGATGAAATCCCGGAGTCCATCCAGGGACCAGCTCCAGTCCATCAGCCACTCCAAAGACATGGTGGTGGTGCAGCGGGCGGGGGGGGTGCGCAGCGGCGCCCGGCGGTCAGTCCTGGTGCTCCCCAGGGGCACCCACACCATGCAGCGGG